TGGTGCATTCATAGGTTTTTTCTCGATTTATTCTTCCATAAATTGCTGAAAGTGAAAAAAGGTTCGTCCAAATTTAAGTAAGTACAACCAAAACAAAACATCAAAATATATATATATATATATATATAAGTAATTCAAAATGAGTTTTTATCTTTTGAATATTCAATTGACCAATTAATTCGTTGTAACGTACTCTTTTCTTTTCTTCTCTTTTTTTATTTTATTTTTTTGGGACAAATAAGCTACTAGGGGTTGGTGTTTTCAAGATTTTTTTTGTTTTTTGTTTTTTTTTTTGGGTGCAATTCCAAATGAGAAATAAGTTCTTATCTTATTGGTAAAATTAACTATTTGAAATTCAACAGATTCCCGATTTTCTTCTTTTTCTTCTTGTGAAATAATCGAAAGGGTGAATTATAGTCATAGTCTCTCAAGTTTTATACCAGTTTCATTTTAGTCACTGTAGTTCTGATTGTGTCAATTAAGTCCATCAAGTTTCAATTTCAAATCAATTTTAGTCCCTAAGCCTGAAATATAAATAACTCATCATCCCAAAAGTTTGATTGATTACTGCAAGGCCCTATCCATTAAATAGTTTAATGTATCAAGCCTTAAAGTGTTAGGTTAAGTTTGTTTCACTCCTTCATATGCTTTTAATTGCAGGAATTAGAACTAAAATAAATAGTAATTTAACATATATATCTATATCAGAAAATCAGTTAAATAGATTAAATTTTCTTTTATTTATTGTTTCTGGACAATCCGTAGTGAGTTATAGCTAGAGAATTGTTAGCATTAAGGTGCAAATAGCTTTAGAAAAGGGAAGTGTAAAATTCCAAAGAGGAGTTTTACAAGATTTATTATTAAATTAGTCCATGATTAAAGAAACTGCATTAAGTATCAATGAGTTTAGTATTAAAGAGGCCACAATTCAAGAAGAAATTTAAAAAGAACAACGAAAAAGGTGTAAAGAATTATTATATAGCAATAAACCATTAAAATACCAGTATAAAGATAAAATTATAGCAAAATTAGATTTAATAGATCCTAATATAATAATTCGAATAAAACAAATGACATATACCTATAACGATATAAAAGAATTAAACATAAAGCCAAATAACTTAAAAATATAATACTAAACTGAGCTATTGCTAATATTGCAATACTTGTATTTATAGATTTTTAAATAAATTTTTTTTTTATAATATAACAAAACGTAAGGGGCAATATTATAATAAACAAAATCTTAGAAAATTTATAAAAACCAAATTGCGAAATGCAAAAGTACAAGGATCAAATTGAAACTTTGAGAAAACTAGGAGGACCATTGATGTAATTAGCTCTAACCGAAATGAATGAATTTGTATCATAAAAGATTTTTCTCCTTTCCTCTCGATTTCTTACAAATATGAAACTTTATTGATCAATAATAATAATGCCAATTATTTTAAGAGCCGTGATCCATACACCCACTGGGGGTCGCGCCCCCAGTGACGTGGCGCGCCCCCAGTGGCTGAAAACTTAAAAAAAAAAAAAAAAAAAAAAACAATTTTTTTTTTGGACCAATCCGGGGCCGACACCTCACTGGGGGTCGACCCCCAGTGGGGGTATGAAGCTTTTCTGTTATTTTAACCTAATAATTTGAATTTTTTATGAAATCTTAATTTTATCCCATAAAATTGATAAATCCAATTGAAAATTGGATTGGATAGGATAGGGACACAAAAAAATATTAATGTTTTGCATTTAAAAATAAGATTTTCAATCTTCAAATTGAGATTTTATGTATTTGGATCAATTTCAAGCGATGCTTCGCTGCATCTACATCAAAAAAAATTTTCGTGTTATTGCTTTATTTTTGTTTTGTATTTTTGTAATAATATTTTTGAATTATAAACTAAAATTTTACTAAATTATGAAGCTACAATACCATATGTGTTATCTTTTTGAGTTCTTCTTGTAATGATTTTATTAGGTCGAATTAAACTAATAGTTCTTATAGTTTTAGACTTGTGTCGTTTTGGTGTCTAACTTTTTAATTGTGATATATTTGACCATGAATTCTAAATTTTGAATCTTATTCCAAACAAGAATAATCAATGATGTTTCCTTTGCAAACGGTTTATTTCAAGGGTAAAGTCATCATACAACTTATTTTGTGTTGGTTAATTTGTACGTTGTTTAAAATGTAATGGCTTGTTTTTTAATAAATAATGCTGGTATTTTCTTGGTTATAATGTTATTTTTGGTTTGATTTTCAGAATCTATTTTCAAATTTTTTTTCAAGAAACTAAAAATTAAATTGGTGAAAACAATTAAAAACACATCATTTTTATATAATTTTATCTTTTGGGAGGGTAGAAATAAATTTTTAAAATAATTTTTTTTTATATTTATTTTTGTTAAATTAGTTTTTATTTTTTCAAAAATCAAATATGACGACAATTTTAATGTCATTATTAAAGCAATCCAGTGAATCAAAAAATTAAAAATTAAGTTCATATATTAATTATCGTTTATTTTTCACAAAATAAAAAATATAAAAAATAGGCCTGCCATTCCCGGCCTTGAGCCCAGGCCCTAATTTGAGTGGGCTTGAGTCCCATTTTTAGCCCGTAGGCCGACCTAGACCGAAAAAAGGAATCCATATAACCTGTCATGGGCCAACCCGTGTCTGAGCTCGGATGAACTGGACCGGATCGGGCCATATTTACCCCCAGTTGCACCCAAGACAACTGCAATGGCCTTGTTTGGTGTAGCTATTAAAACAGCTTATAGATTATAGCTTAATAGATTATAGATTATGACTTTAATCAGAAGTTGTTAATCTGTTTGGTGTAGCTGTTGGATTATAGATTTAAGTTGCTGAGTAGTGTTTGTTAAATAAGCTGTGAAATAGCTTTTTCAATTAATTTTTATTTTTTGTTTGTCTACATTTCTCATAAAAAATACTAATAATAATCTATAGTCCATTTGAGTCTTTTTCTATTTTTAAAAAATAAAAAATAAAAAAATTTAAGAGTATAACCATAAATTAACATGTCCACAGCAGAAGCTGATAATCAGAAGTAAGGGGTGAGCAGCTTCTCAGAATCAGCTTTTTTGAGTTAAAATAAACTGTTAGAATCAGAAACTGTTTGAAATAAGTTTAACCAAACAGTCCAAAATAACTTTTTCAAAGCTAAAAGTTATAAGTTGACTCTCAAAAGCTGAAACAAACACCCCCAATAGTCTCTGCTTGTGCTCCAGAAAAATTGAACTACACTTGGGGGTCTTGAATCGTGGCCTTGAAAATGGACCAAGTCCAAAGCCGTATGCCCCTTACAAATTTTTTTTGTCAAATGTGGGCCCTGAGCTAGCACCATTTATTTCTCTTGTCGGGTTAGTTGGGTCAACCCAACCCAAACATGGACCCTTCTCCGGGAGTGATTTAATTTGTGCCCAAATAGTAAGTCAGTATGTTTAATTAAAATTTTGAAATTTTAATTCCTATTGTATTTTAATGTAAATTTATTAATAAGAACAATACATATTAAACTCTAAAAATATAATATTTGTTTTTTTTCACAGTACACCTTAATCACTAATATGTATTCTTCGTATTCAAGTCTGTTCATATTATTTTTTTAAGTTTCAATTATTTTCTCTTTACCTTCTGCCTCATTATTTGCCAATAGAAGAAAATTTAAATAAAATGAAACAATGAATAGGAATAATAATTAAAAGAGTGTTTTTTTGAAACAATCCTGTGTATTCAGATCGGTGGGGCTAAAAAAGATGAGCTGGAGAAGATAGTTGAGAAGCACAGAGAAACCGAAGTTTGCTGCTTGATTGATTAGTAAACGATTCGGTCATTATCTTTATGTTTCTTTTACTTTGTTTATCAATTTTATGTAGAATAAAAAACAATTGTGATGTTGATTGTGTGAATGTGTATTGTTTGATAATGGAAACTCAAAACAACATTCCATTTACCTTTTTATTGATGTTGAGAGATTTCAACAGGTCAGGGTGTTGAAAAGGTTGCACAGGCATTAAAGATTCTGTTTAAGAAATTTGTTTAATGGTTTTTTTTTTTTTTTTAATGGTGTAATATTAGGGTTTTTTATTTGTTTATTATTTGGATGTATCATAAATTATAGTTTTATCTTAAAGGGTAATTTGTGAAAAAACATAGAGTGTACTAAAAATAAATTATAACCCTAAATAATTTAACAAAGAGTACTGAGAAATCAGACGTACTAAATAATTTTGTGGGTGCAAATAGAATCACCCCTTCATTAGATGTACAAGAAATATTATCTTGTTCTAACTCTTAAAAATATCGGGTTGGACTAGTGCCCTACCCTTAATGAGAGACGGTGACCGAAGGTGGCCACCGATAGTCAGAAGTGGTCATTGGTGGCCGGAGTTAGCCTTTGATGGCTAAAGGTGATCGCCGGTAGTTGTTGGTGGTAGGGGGCATGGTAATGGTCTTATGGGTGAGGGAGGATATTTTGGAAATATTGATAGGTACAAAAATAAACAGAACTTATAAGTAAATAAGTCTGGTCAATAGGACCAGCTTATAAGTGCCGCCAAAAATTTCAATACAAGTGATACCATATAATTGATCAACAATGATAGAGGGCCCTAATTTTTGTGGCTCAAATGGCTCGAATTTGTCAAAACGACGTCGTTTTGAGTACAAAACAACATTAAAATTGTCAAAACGACGTCGTTTTGACAAATTTAAGCCATTTGAGCCACAAAAATTAAGACCCTCAAACATTTTCCATAATTGATATCACCATCGAATAATTTATTATCATTTACCCCCTATTTATGTGTGATAAGATAGTTATACTTGAAAATTGTGGTTGACCCTCCACTTCATATAACTTTATTGTTTATTGGTAACACCACGCCATCGATATCACCTTTACACTAATTTTTTAGTCAATATACATGCACTCACAAACTGTTCATTAATTTATTATTGTAAATTAACACAGCAAGAATTGTTGCATCTTAAATGTCTCAATCTTCTGTGAAATTGCATCAATAGCTAAAATCCGAATGAGATCGACAGTAATTACAGCAGTATACATCTATCTTTCTGAGAGGGAGGCAAAACTAATGTGAGAAAATTAGCAAATCGCTTTTCCCCTGCTATAGCATAGAAGGGTCCTAAGAAAACAGAGGAAAAGAAAGGGTAACAAGAGAAAATTCAAAAAACTTCTGTTTTAGAAAAGCCAAAATTTGATGATTCAAGAATCAAAACTAATCATATCATTAACCCCTTTGACATAGCAAAAAAATAAAGAAATATACACACAAAAAAAATTCATGCTCTTGTTGTCATCTTGACTCTCTTTGACACCAGATTCCTCGAATACCAACATGCTTGTATCACCACAGTTCAAACAATCTCAAATTCTATTACTATCCACAAATTTCGTTGACACGTCGTGATACCTCCACCATCGATGGGCGACTATCGGGGTGTTGAGTAGTGCAAGAAGTTCCAAGATGTAACAGCTGAGCCATTTGCTCCTCTCTATTTTGCTGCCTAACTAGCTCAGGATCAAAGACATCGATTGCTTGATTCTCTTGAACCATCGATTGCACCCACCTCGGAAGATCAACTCCTTCCTCATTTTGAAGGGCATGAGTCGGGGCCTTGCCCGTCAGCAGCTCCAATAGCAGGACACCGAAACTATAGACATCGGCCTTTTGAGAAATTTTATGTGTATTTGTCACCTCAGGTGCGCAATAGCCATTCAGGATGAGAGTGGAATTTGTAGAAACAAGTTGTGCTATGCCATATTCAGAAACACGAGCATCATAGGAGTCAATGAGGAGAATGTTGGACGACTTGATGTTTCCGTGAGAAATATTGGGACCTATAGAGTGAAGGTACTCGATGCCACGAGCAGCACCAAGAGCGATTTTACTCCTAATTTCCCAGGTCAATGCTGCCTTGTCTATGCCTCTATTTCCTATAAATTGAAATGATAGAACAATACCAAGTCAGAAAACATTGTTATCTAAATGTTTCATATTATTTCAATTTCATCCAAGTGAAAACAAATTCAATTCGACAAGTTTATGGTGAGGAGTAAAGCATTTTTGCGTTGCATTTGGGTGCATAAAATTGTGTGAAGTCTTAAAATATTTATATTCATCTGAAGTATGAAGGGAAGCTTTTACTCAATTCTCTTTTTCTCAAGCCTGTCATAGTTTGATGTCTCAGTACCTCAATCATGTTCTTTAACTCCTTATGATATGTTACATGGATCTCCAAATGATTCTCTCATTATCTCTTTATTCTTTTCGTATGTTCCAAGTTTTAATTCTACTATGTACCAAAAATATGTTATTAGAATTTGTTTCCCTCTTCATTAGTGTTTTTTTTTTTTTTTTTTGTCCTCCTTTAACATGGTGTGCATTCACTTTACTGTTAAACTTCAGCAATCCAACAGCAAGTTTGTTAATTTGTTCAAAGCAAACCAACCCATATAACAAAAGTGGGAAATTACTGAATAAACCCAGAGCACTATGAGACATTGTTTATATAGTTTTCAAAACTAGCATGTAAATAATGTCATGGGTTATTCCGGGAGTATCTAGTAATTTTCTAGCAGAAGCACACCTTGAGACATAGAAGTATGCTACAAGACACCATATATGATTGTCGCTGGTAAAATAAACATATAAAATACAATTCTTCTCAGAACATAGAATCGGACAAAACCCCCATATTATGTAAATGATCGCCTTTTGTATTTTTAAACTTTCTATAAAACCTATAGCTCCTAAATTTCTAGTAGACATATTTTTCTCAAAAACAAAGCCACTTAAAGGCATGTGATTGCAATTTAGCAATTAAATACTAACAAGGGTGCGCATGGATTGGTTTGTTTCAAGTTGATACTAAATTTAGAACCAACTCAATCATGATTAGTTATACGTTTTTTGACTAAGAATCAATCCAATCATGCACTAGGACCAAACCAAACCTAATTAAACTAAATAGCTCGGGTTGGTTCAGATTAGAATTGCAGTATCACTATACTAAAAAAATAAGTAAATCAATCAATAATAAATTATGAGAATAAACTAGTCTTGAACATTTTAATATAAGTAAAAAAGAACAAAATATTATTTAAGAAAAGCAGTCAAGTTTGGTTATATGTGAGTTATAAACAAATATATGAAAGATGAGGACTAGTTTGGTAGACGGAAGAGTAAATGAAAGATAGCACCAACTGTTATCTTATATATGAAAGGATGAGGTGCAATTGGCCCAATCTAGTATTTGCAATAGACTAACTCCATAAAAAATTATGCAATATAGATAAGTTTAGGTCATTGGTTCATTCAGTTTAGACAACCAATCTAATCTTATCGAGTTAATGATTTTAAAATCTAGAACCAAGATAGTGTAATGAAAAAACTTAAACCAACCCAACTCATAAAAATCTAATTGGTTCGATTCTCAAATTTTAAAGATATTTTGTGCACCCCTAACAACCAAAGAAATGCAATTATGGTTCAAAACAAAAAAAAAAGGGCAAAACAGAGTATAGCAAATATATCAAAAGCAATGAATTAGAACTAGAAGTAGCAATCTCACCATGCAAAAGAGAATGTAAACTTCCCATGGGCATGCAATCAAAGAGAAGAAGCTTCTCCTCCGTCCCATAAAAATAAGCTTTGATAGGCATCAAATTCTCATGAACCAACACTCCCGAACTCTCAACTTTCTCTCTGAACTCAGTCTCATTCACACAAACATTCTTTAACCTCTTCACAACCACCTCAATCTCAGTCTCAATCTCACTTTCTATATATGCCTTGTAAGTAGTCCCAAATGTCCCTTTCCCCAACATCTCAGCTGAAGCCCTCAACAACTCCTCCAAACTAAAATCCAAATTCCCAAAAGACACCAACCCATCATTCCCACCACTCTGCACTACAACACCCACATCCCTATTTCTCAATCCACTGTTTTCTCCTACGAAAGTCGGTTTCGGGCTCCGGATTTCAATTTCCGGTGGCGGCGATGCTGGCGGCCGCGGCGACATATTGACTTGCCGGGGTGTCGTCTTGCTACTATATATTCTCCATCCAATGAAGAGAGTTACAAAAATCAAAATCAATCCTACAACGGACCCAGTTACAATTCCGGCAATCGCTCCGGCCGATAACTTTTTTCCTTTATTTCCATCATTTCCACCACTTCCACCACTAGCAGGAGGACAAACAGGGAGTGGTGAACCGCATAGGGAATTTCCCAGAAATGAATTGGAAGGAAAATTGTTCAAGATCGATGGAATTGAACCATTCAAATTATTGTGAGAAACATTGAATTTTCGAAGATTTGGTAGGTTGTTGAGGTTTGGAATTGACCCTGTGAGATTGTTGTTTTCCAAGTAAAGAACTCTGAGTTTGGTGAGGATGTTGAGCTCCGCCGGAATTGCGCCGGAGAATTGGTTTCCCGGCAAGAGGAGTTTCTCGAGTTCGTTGCAGGAGCTCAAGTCGGAGGGGAGCGAGCCGGAGAGAGCGTTTTTCCGGAGGCTGAGGACGCGGAGGTGGGTCAAGTTTCCGACGGAGTTGGGGGGGATTTGGCCGGAGAGCCGGGCGGAGGGGAGGCGGAGCTGGATGACTTGGCCGGTGGTTTTGTCGCAGGTGACACCGAACCAGGAGCATGGGGTTGGGTCGGATTGATTCCACCGCCGGGTGTGGCCGCGGACGGCGGAGCTGAGGTTGAGCAGGGCGGTTCGGTCGTCGGCGGCGGCGGAGGGGAGGAGGAAGAATAGGAACAGTGGAAGTGTGAAAAGATGGTGGTGGTGATGATGATGAAATTGAGAGAACATTTGGGTAAGAAAATAAGTGGATTATAGATTATAGTTTTGGTTATGGTTAATTGGGTGTCAAGTCTGAAGAAGAAGAAGGAGAAGAAGAAGAAGGGAGGCCTAAAAATGGTGGCGTTTGGTGTATATATGACATTTACAGGGAAAGTCATCCGTCTGTTTTTTTCTTGTTTCAGCGTGGACTCCACGGTGTTGCCTTCACATTTCAACATTTAGACTTGGTCTAATATCATTGGAATTGGTGCATTTTTGAATGGAAATTCCTTTACAAACACTTATACATGCAATTTTTTTTAATACAGTGAATATGACAATTTAAAAAATTATAGACTCCGTTCGGTAAACTTTTTAAATTATGGTTTTACCTATTGATTTGAGTACGATATTTGTTTTGAGTTTTTAAATCATAAATTTATATCTATTTTTCAAAATTCAATTCAAAACATAATCATTACTTTTCAAAACTCCTAACTAAATACATAATTCAAAACTCTTTCCAAAACTCAATTCAAATCAATATTTTAATTTTTTTTAATATTTTAAATATTTTAATATTTTAAAAATATTTTAATTTTGTTAAGATTTTAAATATTTTAATTTCTTGAATATTTTAATTTTTAAATATTATGATTTTAATTTTTTAAATTTTAAAATATTTTATAAAAATAAATTCAAACTCTATTTTATAAAAATATTTTTAAATATTTTAATTTTTTTTGTTACATATTTGATTGCGATTTGAGTGTAGAGTTGTGAAAGTAGTATGGAGTTTCGAGTTATGTGTTTGGTTATGAGTTTTAAAAATAATTTCTTAATTGAGTTTTGTTTTATGCGTTTAGTTACGATTTGAGTGTAGAGTTGTTTTTAAATTTAAAATATTAAAATTTTAAATTATTTAAATTTTTACGATTTAAATTTTTTAAATATTTATTTTAATTTTTTACTTATGAAATTTTTTAGATTATTTAAATATTTATGATTTAAATTTTTTGAATATTTATTTTGAAAAAAAATATTTCCTTTGTAGTATTTTCAATTAAAAATTTGATTAATGTTATTTTCTGTTAATAATAAATTTTTTTAATTGAATTTTAAAAATAGTTTGGTTATGAGTGATGATTAGAATTTTCAATAGTATGAAAGTAGTGCGTTTTGTTATGAGTTATAACAATTTGAATTAAGTTTTGAAAACTTTTTCCAAAACTCATAACTAAACAAATTTTCTTACTTCACATGTTAAATCAAACTTTCAAAGCTCAATTCCACATACAATTCAAAATTCAATTCAACACTCTATTCAAAAATCATAACCAAACAAATTTTCTACACTCAAATCATAATTTCACAACTCACAAACACAAAATATAACTCATACTCTCAAATCATATTTACAAAATTCTACCAAACACAATCATAAATTGTTTTTAAAGTGATAAAATACACGGACTGTCAAATTATTTTGAATCAAAATTTAATATAGATTTTGGATTCAGTTTGTCTCCAATACACTGGATTGTATTGTTTGGATTCATGCAATTTATTATGATCCTATTTTGATAATTCGAATCGTTTATTTTTGGATCATAACGTATATATTATTCATCAAAAAAATTAGATTGATCTGATGAACATACCCATGTTAATATATTATATTTTTTTCCCAAAAGATAAATAGTTTAGTTTTAAATAATTTGTCATTCATTTATTTGAAAATAAACGTCATGAACTAATGTGACGAGGATTATTAAATCAGCTTTTTTATTTTTATTTTTATTTTTTTTTAATAAATAATCTACATGTTGTGGTTTAAAAAATAAATAAGGTAAGGATTTTATTATAAGACTACTCTTCTTGATGCATTTTAGTTGAAAATTTTAAAATGTATAGAATCTAACAACCTTTTTACATAAAATGAAATATGTGAGCTTTAAGAATGGGGAAAGTACAAATCAGTTGTACTTTAAAAAAATAATTACTAACAGGTAACATTAATGTTACGTACTTAATAATTAAAATCTATAAATTTTATCATTAATATATATATATATATTTTTTTTCAAAATGCCCATTAAAATATTATTCCCCCTTTAAGAATTATGTCTGGTTCCATTATCTAATTTTATGCACAGAGAAAAACTGGTTTTTGTTTGAATGTACAATTAATAAACAATAAAAAAAATAAACAATAAACAATAAGAAATAGTGAGAAATTTATTTATATATAGTTAATTTCATTTTTATTCCCTAAATTATTGCACTTTTTTTTTTTCATTTTATCTTTAAACTATTAATTTCATCTATTTAATTTTTAAAGTTTCTAATTTTAGCCAAGGTAATCCAATTGGTGATGATTGTCCAAATTATTAAAGCCTAATTTGGTGGTCAAAAAGTTATTCATAATTTGTATTCATTATTTTGAAATGAGTAGTAGCGAAGAAGATGAATGTTTCGTTGTAAAATATAAATTATATAATATAATATTGTGAGTTAAAATATAGGTCTTTGATTAAATGATTTAGTTTGTTCAAATTATAAAGTTTTTTTCTCCAATTTGATTTGAAAATCAGAAATTTTGAGAACCAAATCATTGAAATTGATAATTTAAGAATAACATTATAAAAAAAATGATAAAAACTCGGAGAATAAAATTAAATTTAACATTATTTTAAAAATCATTGGAACGACACTTTTAATTATTGAAGGGTCTACAATACTTCATTTGGATAGAAGTCTAGAACTTCAGAATATTCAAAACCTAGTTACTTAAATACATAAATGAGGTCAATCTTTATACTTTTTTAGTATTTCTTTCCCAATTCTATGTTTACACTTTTGTAATTTTATTCGGTATGTATGTAGTAGTATTTTATTATTTAATTTGTAAGCATGGATTAACAGAGATCAAAATGATCTCATGACAACAACTATATCATTGTTTAAGGTTGACTTCGGATTGTAAAATCCATCCCTTCTCTCGACATATACCTATTTCTGATAAAGACACTGTCGATAAATACCCATTGATTTGTAACTATTGGTTATTATTGATTAAAAATAAAGTTTATAAAAAGTGAAAGCTCAAAAATTGAAAATGAATTTATTTGTTTTTTTTTTTTAATGTGTGCACAAAATATAAAATATGATTTATTTAGAAAAGTTGAATTTCTCTCAAATTCAATTATAACTTGAGAGAACTTATGAGATCCATGGAACCCATCTATCTTTCGATAATTCAAATTATTTATTTTGTAAGACTCTCAGTGTATATCATCTGTAAAACAAACTTAGAAGTTGATCCAATAATAGTAACTTTATCATTTTATCATATTTGTCTCTGAAAAAAAATGAACAATGAGTTTGAAAATAGACTATCTATTTAACATTATAGACTGAAAATATTACAACTATCAGATAGATCCAAGGCTGGCCCTGGGCTAAGGCTAGTGAGGCCTGTGCCTGGGCCCCAAAAAATTAGGTCCAAAAAAGGCCCTCAAATTCATTATCTTGTACTATATCAAAAATTCAAAATGACCCATTTTTGTTTAGTTAATTTAGGTCATTTTAAAATGCCTCAAAAGTTCTACTTGGCCCAATTCATAAAAGACCCAGATAAAAAATATTTATAAGTGTTAGTTGTTAGCCTAATTAAAAAAATAAAATATAAATTATACGTATGTCTGTGGGGCCTATTTTTTTTCTTCTCTTTTTATGTCCCAATTATGTGTTTTTTAGTGATTTTTTAAAATGTTTTTATGCAATTTTATTTATTTGTTTTGTAGATACACCTAATTTAGATACCCTAAAAAACTATAATATTTGTACTTTTAAAAAATAAAGTTGCCAAATACAAAAAATAAAAAAAAATACGAATTGCAAACTCAGATAATTATTTTTGAAAATTCTAAACCAAATAGGATGATTTTTATTTTTATTTTTTATGAATATCTAAAAGGCTCTGAAAAATTATTTCGCCTGAGGCCCCGAAAACTTAGGGCCGCCCTGGATAGATCTAGTTTTTTTTATGGATGATAAATACAAAAGATCCTACAAAAAGAACGATTTAAATTATATAAGTGGGACATGCGGTGGGCCGCATGACCCCTCAAATTCTCTCAAGTTTATATTTGAACTTGAAAGAAGCCTAACCCGATCTAAAAATATGGACTTTATATCTATAAAATGTATTAAATAATTTAAAATCATAAATTCTAGGGTAAATTACAAACACACCCCCAAAGGTTTACTTAAATTACAAATTATCTCCTATGGTTTTAGAAATTACATTATGCCCCTTAAGGTTTCTAATTTCAAAACAAATAGGTCATTTTATTAATAAATCATCAAGTTAATTAACAATTTTTAATAATGTTAAAATTTTATTTCAATTAATAATTCAGATAATTTTATTATTGTGAAGAGTGAAGAATTTCACTTTTTCAATTAATTTTGTTACATAAAAAATTCTGACAGGAAGGTATTTGTCATTTTTTAAATTATAGAGAACAATTCGTATTTTAGGCAAATCTCAGAAAATATATTTGTCATTTATCCTAAATTCTAATAGTTTACACTAATCAAAAAATGTGTTTTATTCACGCATTCTTTGATATACACATTTTGTGTCTGTGAACAAAATCAAACTAAAAATCTAATTTGTTCAAAGTATTCTTTTATTGGACTTTTATAATGACTTTTTAAAATGTCTAAAATGAGTTCTTTGATATAAAAAAAGAGAGGAGAAATTACCATTAAGTGGTCCTTCTATAACTTTATTATAAATTAATATGAAAAAAATTATGATTTTAATTATTAATATTTATAAAATGTATTACTTATTTGTTATTATTATTTTTAAAATGTGAATTGAATTGTAATTTCCTCTATAAAAAAAATTAAAAAAAGGGGCCAAGGCGAGACTTTTTTTAATCAATACCAAAGAAGACCTCTAGATTTATGGCTGGTTTTAGTAGACCTCCATTTGGAAAGTGGGTTCGCTTTTTGACTTTTTGGCTATTTTAGCTTGGGCTATTTTAGCCTGGTTTGGGAAGGATTTTTTGATTTTTTGGCTTTTTTAGTTTTTTTTGTGAGAGAGGATTGTAATGATTATGAGTTGGATTTGATGTTTTGTTTTTTGTGACTAAAATAGCCTATTTTGTTTTTTGTGGCTATTTTAGCCAAAAAAGCTTAGCTTTTTTCTTCCCAAACGGAGCCTTAAATGTTTACACGTCTTGTATGTTTTTTACAAAAATGTTAGGGACACTAAGTAATTTATCAAAAAATTTGCCAGACATTCATATGCGTGCGAGTGTTTGATAAATGTTTCTAGTGAATTATAACTCTAATATTGCTATGCTTTTTAAATATAATAATAAGTCTTAAAATACCTATTTCATTCCATTATATTAGTAGGTAATAAAATAAGTCAAACTTATAAATTAATTAGTTTGATTAGTAGGATTAACACGAAAATATTTTTATTTTTATTTTTATTTTTGAAGTGTACAATGTTTCAAACCAGCAGTTCCTAGTCATTTCATGGGCCTAAACTTGGAAATAAGGCCCTTCGTTCAACTTGGTCCGTTCCACCATTTGTCAATCCAAAAAGCAGTTGACTCCAACTTTTCAAAGCAAAACTTTTAAAACTAGGGAACATTGCATAACGATGGAAGAAAAAAAAGAAATAAAAAGAGAGAGCAAAACATATAAAAATAATGTCAAATAAGTGGGAATCTTTGTTAAATTATAAACATACCCTTCTTCCTATCTCCCTTTTCCTTTCTTCTATTCCCTACCTTTGAATGCCTAATCATCTCTTATATCTCTTTTCGATAGCGGTGACGATGATGACACCCATTCCCAACCGCACCGACCTCTTCCCCCACCTAGCTCTCTCCTCCTCACCTACCTTCTCCTCCGCGTCACCACCACCGTAACCCCCTAAATCTTTCACGTGCAACAGATCATGCCGCCGTACCTCCCACCTTCTGTCGCGATCATTGCACCCAACCACCACTACAATCTCTCTCTCTTTCTCTCTCTGCCACCACCATCATACCCACCCCCAACCACCGTAGACATTCTCTCAACGTCCTCTGACCACCACAACCTCCACCGCTTTACCAAATCAGGCCTCAATTACTAGATTACAACCTAGACTAGGTCTCTCTCTCTCTCTCTTATTTTGGGATTTTTGAGATGACGGAGGGCATATGAGAAGTTAATACTAAATTTAAAACCAACCAAACCATGATTAGTTATACGTTTTTTGACTAAGAACCAATCCAATCATGCACTAGGACCAAACCTAACCTAACCAAACTAATATAGCTCGGGTTGGTTTAGGTTAGAATTGCAGTTCTACTATGTTAAAAAAATAAGTGAATCAATCAATAATAAATTATTAGAATAAGTTTGAACATTCAACAATAAATAATTAGAATCTATTAGTCTTAAACATTCTAATATAAGTAAAAAGGAACAAAATATTATTTAAAAAAAGGAGTCAAGTTTGGTTATGTGTGAGTTATAAACAAATACATGAAAGATGAGGACTAGTTTGGTAGACGGAAGAGTAAATGAAAGATAGCACCAACTGTTATCTTATATATGAAAGGATGAGGTGCAATTGGCCCAATCTAGTATTTGCAATAGACTAATTCCATAAAAAAATTATGCAATATAGATAAGTTCAGGTCGTAGTTTCATTTAGTTTAGACAACTAATCTAATCTTATCGAGTTAATGATTTTAAAATCTAAAACTAAGGTAGTGTAATGACAAAACTTAATCAACCTGACCCATAAAAATCTAATTGGTTCCATTCTCAAGTTTTATAGATATTTTGTGCGCCCCCTAACAACCAAAGAAATGCAATTATGGTTCAAAACATAAAAGGGCAAAACAGAGCATAGCAAATATATCAAAAGCAATGAATTAGAACTAGAAGTAGCAATACTCACCATGCAAAAGAGAATGCAAGCTTCCCATGGGCATGCAATCAAAGAGAAGAAGCTTCTCCTCCCTCCCATAAAAATAAGCTTTGATAGGCATCAAATTCTCATGAACCAACACTCCCAAACTCTCAACTTTCTCTCTGAACTCTGTTTCATTCACACAAACATTCTTCAACCTCTTCACAACCACCTCAATCTCAGTCTCAATCTCACTTTCTATATATGCCTTGTAAGTAGTCCCAAATGTCCCTTTCTCCAACATCTCAGCTGAAGCCCTCAACAACTCCTCCAAACTAAAATCCAAATTCCCAAAAGGCACCAACCCATCATTCCCACCACTCTGCACTACAACACCCACATCCCTATTTCTCAATCCACTGTTTTCTCCTACGAAAGTCGGTTTTGGGCTCCGGATTTCAATTTCCGGTGGCGGCGATGCTGGTAGCCCCGGCGACATATTGACTTGCCGGGGTGTCTTGCTACTATATATTCTCCACCCAATGAAGAGAGTTACAAAAATCAAAATCAATCCTACAACGGACCCAGTTACAATTCCGGCAATCGCTCCGGCCGATAACTTTTTTCCTTTATTTCCACCATTTCCACCACTTCCACCACTAGTAGGAGGACAAACAGGGAGTGGTGAACCGCATAGGGAATTTCCCAGAAATGAATTGGAAGGAAAATTGTTCAAGGTCGATGGAATTGAACCATTCAAATTATTGTGAGAAACATTGAATTTTCGAAGATTTGGTAGGTTGTTGAGGTTTGGAATTGACCCTGTGAGATTGTTGTTTTCCAAGTAAAGAACTCTGAGTTTGGTGAGGATGTTGAGCTCCGCCGGAATTCCGCCGGAGAATTGGTTTCCCGGCAAGAGGAGTTTCTCGAGCTCGGTGCAGGAGCTCAAGTCGGAGGGGAGCAAGCCGGAGAGAGCGTTTTTCCGGAGGCTGAGGACGCGGAGGTGTGTCAGATTTCCGACGGAGTTGAGGGGGATTTGGCCGGAGAGCCCGGCGGCGGGGAGGCGGAGCTCGATGACTTGGCCGGTGGTTTTGCCGCAGGTGACACCGAACCAGGAGCAAGGGGTTGGGTGGGATTGATTCCACCGCCGGGTGCGGCCGCGGACTGCGGAGCTGAGGCTGAGCAGGGCGGTTCGGTCATCGGCGGCGGCGGAGGGGAGGAGGAACAATAGGAATAGTGGAAGTGTGAAAAGATGGTGGTGGTGATGATGATGAAATTGAGAGAACATTTGGGTAAGAAAATAAGTGGATTATAGATTATAGTTTTGGTTATGGTTAATTGGGTGTCAAGTCTGAAGAAGAAGAAGAAGAAGAAGACTAAGACTCAGAGAAGGGAGGTCTAAAAATGGTGGTGTTTGGTGTATATATGACATTTACAGGGAAAGTCATTCGTCTGTTTTTTTCTTGTTTCAGCGTGAACTCCACGGTGTTGAGTTCACATTTCAACTTTCAGACTTGGTCTAATATCATCCCTTTGGTGCATTTTTGAATGGAAATTCCTTTACAAATACTTTTACGTACAATTCTTGTAGAGAAATGTTAGAGATCATGAAAATTTTGTTATGAAAAGGATCTTGAAAAATTTATAACCCTTAGATTACCTTGATTAGTGTGTGATACTTTATTGTAAGTGTAATCCAAAGGTCATAAATCTTTCATGACCATTTTCATGATAGACTTTTCATGATACCTAGCATTGCTGTTTTGAATCAAAATTTTATATAGATTTTGGATTCAATTTGTCTCCAATACGCTGCATTGTATTGTTTGGATTCACGCAATTTATTATGATATTATTTTAATAATTCGAATCGTTTATTTTTTAAATCATAACGTATATATTATCCGTCAAAATAATTAAGTTGATCTGATGAACATAGCCACGTTATTACATTATATTTTTTTTCTCAAAAAATAAATGATTTAGTTTTAAATAATTTGTCATTCATTTATTTAAAAATAAATGTCATGAATTAATGTCACTACGGTTATTAAATCGACCTCTTTTTTTTTTTTTTTCAATAAACTACCTATACATTGTGGTCTAAAAAATAAATTAGAGACAAGGTGAGGGTTTTATTGGGGGTGTTTGTTTCAGCTTTTCAAAGCTAACTTATGACTTTTAGCTTTGAAAAAGTTATTTTGGACTGTTTGGTTAAACTTGTTTCAAACGGCTTCTGATTCTAACAGTTTATTTTAACTCAAAAAAAACTGATTCGGAAAAGCTGTCCACCCCTTACTTCTGATTATCAACTTCTGCTGTGGACATGTTAATTTATGGTTATACTCTTAGAACTTTTTATTTTTTATTTTTTTAAAACTAGAAAAAGGCCCAAATAGACTATAGATTATTATTATTATTATTATTTATGAGAAATGTAGACAAACAAAAAATAAAAATTAATTGAAAAAACTATTTCACAGCTTATTTAACAAACACTACTCAGCAACTTAAATCTATAATCCAACAGCTACACCAAACAGATTAGCAACTTTTGATCAAAGTCATAATTTATAATCTGTTAAGCTATGTATATGTTATTTTAACAGCTACACCAAAAGGGGTCCATTATAAGACCACTCTTCTTGATGTATTTAAAATGTATAGTATCTAAAAACCTTTTTTTACGTAAAATGAAATATGTGAGTTTTAGGAATGGGGAAAGTACAAATAAGTTGTACTTTAAAAAAATAATTCTAACAGGTGAAAATTGTTATGTACTTAATAATTAAAATCTATAAATTTTATCATTATTCTAACTTTTTTTATTTTTATTCCAAAATACCCACTAAAATATTATTCCCCCTTTAAGAATTATGTCTGGTTCCATTATCTAATTTTATGCACAGAGAAAAACTGGTTTTTGTTTGAATGTACAATTAATTTGCACCCTTAAAAATAAATAAATAAATAAATGTTATACCTAAACAGAAATTTTACTTATGATTAGGCCCAATGGTTTGGATCCCAAAAGTATTTACTCCCTCCGTCCCAAAATATTAGTCCCTTATTCCATTTTTCATTGTCCCAAAATATTAGTCCCTCTTCAAAAATCAAGTACAAAAATAATATAAATTTCCTATTTTACCCTTCTTTTAAATTAATAAACAACATAAAAAGTACAATTATGCATTGATATTCCCAAAAAATGTACTATCAAAAGGATAATTTTGGAAAATCAACTTTTTTCAAATGCAATAATTGTACTACCAAAAAAAGTTGGATTCCCCAAAAGGGACCATTATTTTGGGACGGAGGGAGTACTTGTTATTGTGAACTCGACTGTCGTTTGTGTCTAGAAGTAATAAATAAATAAATAATAATAAAATAAAAAATAGTGAGAAATTTATTTATATATAGTTAATTTCATTTTTATTTCCTAAATTATTGCAAATTTTTTTCATTTTATCTTTAAACTATTAATTTCATCTATTTAATTTTTAAAGTTTCTAATTTTGGCCAAGGTAATCCAATTGGTGATGATTGTCCAAATTATTAAAGCCTAATTTGGTGGTCAAAAAGTTACTTCATAATTTGTATTCATTATTTTGAAATGAGTAGTCGAAGAAGAAGATGAATGTTTGGTTGTAGAATGTAAGTTATATAATAGGGCTTAGCTTCTGTTCAGTCCTTAATCGGATTGGATCGTGCTGTTCGGTTCGTGAAGATCCACCACGGGTCCTGTTTTGATAATCTGAACCGTTCAATGTGTAGAACTCGTCGAGTATTATAAGCCTGTAAAAAATCACGTTAATCGGATATCGGTAGCTATGTAATCAAATTAGTTTTGTATAAAAAAAATGGACGGTGAATAAATTAGCGGTTGACAAAAATATGATTTGATCACATAGTTACAGATATTCGATTAACGTAATTTTTTACAGGTTTATAGTACTCGACGAGTTCTACACATTGAACGGTTCAAATTATCAAAACGGGACCCGTGGTGGGCCCCACGGGCCCAACAGCACGGTCCAGTCCTTAATCGGACTGGACAGAAGCCAACGCCTGTATAATATAATAGTGTAAGTAAAAATATAGGTATTTGATTAAATGATTTAGTTTGTTCAAATTAAATTTTTATTTTTTTTCATTCCAATATGTTAGATTTTCACTATTACCAATTTGGACAATCTTTCTCCAATTTGGTTTGAAAATCAGAAATTTTGAGAACCAAATAGTTGAAATTGATAATTTAAGAATAAAATTATAAAAAACTGATAATAACTTGGAGAATAAAAGTAAATTTAGCCCATTGATATATAACATTATTTTAAAAATCATTGGAACGACACTTCTAATTATTGAAGAGTCTACAATACTTCATTTGGATAGAAGTCTAGAACTTCAGAATATTCAAAACCTAGTTAGTTAAATATATAAATGCGGTCAATCTTTGTACTTTTTTAGTATTTCTTTCCCAATTTTGTGTTTACACTTTGATAATTTTATTCGGTGTGTATGTAGTATTATTATTTAATTTGTAAGCATGGATTAAGGGAGATCAAAATGATCTCATGATAACAACTATATCATTGTTTAAGATTAACTTCGGATTGTAAAATCCATCCCTTCACTCTCAACATATACCCATTTCTGATAAGGACACTATCAGTAAATACAATTGGTTAAAAATAAAGTTTATAAAAAGTGAAGGCTCAAAAATTGAAAATGAATTTATTCATTTTTTTTTAATGTGTGAACAAAATATAAAATATGATTAATTTAGAAAGGTTGAATTTTTCTCAAATTCAAATATAATTGAGAGGACTTAAGAGGTCCATGGAACCGTCTATCTTTCGATAGGTCAATTCCAAATAGTAACTTTATCATTTTATCGTATATGTCTCTAAAAAAAATGAACAATAAGTTTGAAAATAGACTATCCATTTAACATTATAAATTGAAAATATTACAACTATCAGATAGATCTAGTTTTTTTATGGATGGTAAATACAAAGGATCCTACAAAAAGAATGATTTAAATTATATAAGTTGGACTTGCGGTGGGCCGCATGACCTCTCAAATTCTTTCAAGTTTATATTTGAACTTGAAAGAAGCCTAACCCGATTTAAAAATATGGACTTTATATCTATATATTGTATTAAATCATTTAAAATCATAAATTCTAATAGTTTACACTAATCAAAAAGTGTGTATTATTCACTCATTCTTTGATACACACTTTTTGAGTTTGTGAACAAAATCGAACTAAAAATCTAATTTGTTTAAAGTATTGTTTGTTTATTGAACTTTTATAATGACTTTTTTAAATGTTTAAAATGAGTTTTTTGATATAAAAAAGAGAGGAGAAATTACCGTTCAGTGGTCATTCTTTATTATAAATTAATATGAAAAGAATTATAATTATAATTATTAATACTTATAAAATATATTACTTATTTGTAATTATTTTTTAAAATCTAAATTGAATTGTAATTTCCTCTATAAAAAAAAAAGAAAAGCCACAGCGAGACTTTTTTTAATCAATACCAAAGAAGACGTCTAGATTTATGGTTGGTTTTAGTGGACATAAATGATTATAAATCTTGTATGCTTTTTATAAAAATGTTAGAGACAGTAAGTAATTTATTAAAAAAATTACCAGACACTCATATGTGTGAGTGTTTGGTAAATATTTTTAATAAATTATAACTCTAATATTGCTATACTTTTTAAATATAATAATAAGTCTTAAAATACCTATTTGATTCCATTATATTAATAGGTAATAAAATAAGTCAAACTTATGGATTAATAAGTTTGATTAGTAGGATTAACACGAAAATATTTTTATTTTTATTTTTTAAGTGTTTCCTAGTCATTTCATGGGCCCAAACTTGAGAAATAAGGCCCTACGTTCAACTTGGTCCGTTCCACCATTTGTCAATCCAAAAGGCAGTTGACTCCAACTTTCAATGCAAAACTTTTAAAACTAGGGAATATGAGAGGTTTTCGGTAGTGGTTGATGGTTAGCTGTGGTAGTGGTTGCAATCAGGAAAAAAATTTAGGGGTTGATGGAGAGTGGAAAGGGGTTGGTTAGAGTAAAGGAAGGGTGGTGGTATGAAAGGGAGGCAGAAGGAGATTATGGTGGTGGGAGGGGCTAAGAGAGGAGATTGTGGTGGGGGCCTGTATAAGAGGGTAGTGAAGGGGATGCGGTGGTGGGAATGGTTGAGGGAAGGACGTGTGGTGTTAGGAGGGGAAGAGAAGGCCAACAACAAGTGGTCGACGCCAAAGTTGCAAAGGGAAGGAAAAATGAATAAATGAAAAGGTATTTTAGTCTTGTTAACTCATCCTACCATGTTTTGCAATTTTATTTTTTCCTTTCATTTGTATTGCCATTTTGAAAATACTCCCATTGATTTGCAATATTTCTTTGTTCCTTCCATTTTTTTTTTTTTTTTGCAATTTTCCCTCAAAACTATATTTGAAAACTTCAAATTTTACAAGTGTTGTGTGTATTAT